GTATAAACATAAGCAAACGTAATGTAAAATTATTACCTGCATAGTAGAGAGATCCATAGGATGTGATACTATTTCGAGATAATCTGGGACTTCTTTGATATTAACTGGTTGCCCAAATACATCATTTGTATCTTTCGCCTTTATAGCTTCTAACAATGTACGTAAAACACTTTCAAATGGTCGCAATTGAAGCCATAAACACTTTTCCTTTCTGCAATCAAAATTTTTTTTTCTTAAAATTAATATTTAAAAAGAAATATATTTTATGATGCGTATATAAATTGGCATTATAAAAAAGTATTCATTAAGTTTTTTTTTTAAATCTGCAGGTTTATTTTTCTATCTTATTAAGTACTGAGGTAAAAAGTAGTGTAAAAAGTACTTTTACCTCTGAAGTTGGTCCCTGGGACATTGATTCAAAACAACTAAAATAAAAACAGAAGAATTTTATAAAATTATGTTTTATTAATTAAACCATCATTAAATCAGTCTTTATGAAAGTACTTTAATAAAAACAGATGTAGCGTTTTGTTTTTTTCGCGTGATCCCATGGACCAATCTCAAGGTTGAGGGTTAATGCCAATTTTTATCAATAAAACCGATGTCTATATTATTCATAGTCGTAGCTATACTAACACTTTGCATAATTCTTTTTTTAATTTTTCACGCTTCCGTACTAATTCACATAGCAATCGTGCACGTTCCAAATCTTGACGTAGACATTGCCAATATTTAAGATGACGGTACAATTCTCCTCGCAATTCACCATCATGCGTCGGCGAAGAGGGATGTTCTCCAAGCGGAGGTGGTCTAGATTGTGGATGAGAACTTTGCAATCTTCTAAGAAGTGGAACACCGTTTCTATATTGCCGTTTCAGTGTCCAATAAGCAATAAGACGTTGTATTAATTGGCTTCTTTTTGGTATCCCTTCCGCTAAACTGATTAAATTAAATAACAAATATAAATCTAATAATTCATTAAAATGGTTTTATTATACAGTATGTTCAAATTGTATTTACTATAACCACAAAATAAAATTGTTGTATTACCTAGCAATTTCCCTGATCCTCTCGGGTGGTATGGTTGGAATGGAAATAACAGGCGCTGATGTGCTCTTTTTGTTAGCTATTGCTCTCCTTCGCGCATCCACAGGATTCGTGGAAGGCTGATAATCGGCCGGTGTATGTGTTTCACAGAAAGCTGTTTTTTGCACCAACATTGGTTCACCATTAGTTGGCTGTACCGTTCTCATACGCATACATAGACCAGCTTGCTGAGCACAAGTCACATGGAATGCTGAGTAACAGTTGCTCTTGTGACACTGAATGCACGCGCCAGCTCCTTTGCGCTTACATATGTAGCACATAAGCTTCCAACGAGCTTGTGGTATACTCTCTATACTATCGATGGGTTCCAAAAATACAGTGTTAGCAAATCTTACTTCTGGTACCCATAAAGCGCATACTACATGAGCCCATGTCGCAGGACGATCGGTCTGTTTGAAAGCACCGCCTCTATTCGGACAGAGAATGCAATCTACTGCCCTGGATGGACTTTGTAGGCACCTTCTACACAACCATTGTCCTTCAGGTATATACGGTACACCATAACAATCTTGATGAACAGCAAGATTACACATATCACAAAACAGAATTGCGTTACTATTCTGACACTCTCCGTCCATGCAAATGCAACATACTGCATCTTCATCTGCAGCAATACCACCTCCGCCATTAGTTTGTTGCTGGAAATACGACTCTTTCTCTAGTCTGTCCATCAATAGTTCAAATGTATCAGGTTCCAATGGAGGTGTTAATCCAGAAGCCAACCTTCTTTCATTAACAATAGAAAGCCATGCATTGTCTTCTTCATCTAAATCATATTCTACTTCTCCTGTCAAAATAATATTTCAAATGATAGTAACAATAATATATGTGTATAGAATATGGAAGAAGAAAATGGAAGTTCATATTACAGTAAGAACATATTTATAACATATTTATAACATGTTAAGTATGATATCTGAGAGGTACAAGAAATGGATATTATAGATGCTTAATTAATGAAAAAAATACTGTAATATATAATTAAGCAACATTTGAACATTACATTATATTATATAAATAAAAAAAAATATTTTACCATCAAGTTCTTCACCACTACGCTCCATAAATCTAATATAAGAATTTGGAAGTGGCTTAGCCTCTCCTAATTGATTCTCATAGCCTTCTATTGGCTTAACAAAAGCAGTGGGTAAAGTATTAAGATTGTTCTTGTCTTCTTTTTCTTTTTCCAGTGATGCTGTATTACTTTTCTGCATTTTCTCATCAAACATATTTGAATCCATAGAAATTATAGGAATTGCGTCTAAGATAGCTAACTTAATTGATTTATTTCCATCTTCTCCTATAGGATTTACCTTAAATATCACATTATCAATATATAAATAAATAATTCTGAACAATTATTTGTTTGTTAAAAATACATACAGAAATATGAGATAAATTATTTAATAACTTATATACTTTTAATGCTACAGAAAGAACCCTGCACTAATCTTATGTAAAATGGATCCCAATCAAATTGACTGAAATTTTATTATAATGTAGATCATGATGTCCTGATCAAAAGTCCTCAGGGCACAAAGATTCAAAAATGGACTTTTCGAGATAAGTTGAATGTCAAATATTGGAAATATGGCTAAATTCCAACATTTGATTTCCAATATCTCGAAATCTGTTCATTTTTGGATCTTCTATGAGGACTTTTGATCGGAACATCATGATCCTTTATGAGAGAGAGAGAGAGAGAGAGAGAGAGAGAGAGAGAGAGAGAGAGAGAGGGTGTATATATATTTTATTATTAAAATAATAAATTAAACAATAATTGAGATTAATATATTTAATCCATCCAATTTGTACTTTCGAAATTTTATTCACCTGAACACTTGAACTAGCTATTTGTATGCAACTTGAGATCTAATTCCGTATTAAAATAAATATTTTTTTACTTTAACTTTTACTAGTGGATAGAAAATTTTAGATTCTGTATAAAGTCCAAAAAATACGTTAAATTAAGTAGTTATAGAATGTTCTTTGTAACTGAACTAATATACTTAAACGAGACAACAAAAGTAAGATAAAAAGTTTGAAGATTAATCTATAATGTATTTTTTGCTTTCTGTTTCTTGCTTTTTACATTTTACTTGTTTCTTTCTTTGTGACTGTTTTGTTGATAATAGCATTCTGCAGAGAAAATTGATTAGTGAGCACTCAGTATTTCTTTAATATGATTGATTCTTGCCTTTAGTTCTTCATTGGATCTAAATATAGAAATATGTAGTATGATTGATTTATACATTTAGTCTAGTGAAAGATTACCCTGGATCTACAATAGATTTTTAAGCCGTAAGTCATAAAGAATGAACGAATCATAATTATTTTTATTTGACTGTAGGTCAATTTCTTAAGGTTTAAGGCTTAAAAACCTATTATGGATCCGGGTTTAAGGGCAAGATCAATCATATTAAAACATTTTTTACAACTGTTGCAAAGCTGTTTTCTGTGCTAAATCATATATTTTGTTTAGTGTTTCTTGTCTTGTCTAAAGTTTCAATTTTCTTAGGCAACAGAAAACAAAGAAACATGATAAGCGACAAAAATGAATAGAAAACAAAGAAAAATAGGATAGAAGGCAAAAAGGCAAAAGTGATGTAAAGTGATAAAAAGCAAGAAACAAGAAACACATCATAGATTAGATTTTATCAATGTGCTCTGTATTTCTTGTTTCTTATTTTTTATTTTTTGCCTGTTTCCTCTTTGTGACTCATTTTGTCCAATCGTATTTCTTATGTTTTTTCTGAAGTTTGTCAACTTTTATCTCAAGAGATTTTTTTTGCTCAAAAATTTTTGCACTTAAAAACGAGATAAAATATATTTGGATACCGAAGAGAAAGAAAGAGAAGATTTTAGACACAAAAAATACAAACAATACAAAGAAACCTTTAGGTAATAGAAAACAAACAAGAGAAAAGGCAAAAATAAAATGCAAGAAGATACAAAAGTACATAGCACGTAGCTTTTAGTACAATAACAAAAGAACAGGTCTTTGTGTGTTTATTCATACCAAAACATATTTTGCTGCTTCCTGGCTGCTGAGTGTCTCTGTGTTTGTAGGACTCGCACTTTCATTGGGTATGCCTATTCTGTTTCTCCCTATCTTCTTATTCTTCTTATTCGATTGCGGCGTATTCATATTCGTTTCAGTTGTGATAAACTCACGTATTACCCAATCTTCGATGAACGTCGCTTTAGGTAACCTATTAAGGAGCTACAGCAATACCATGTGCAAGTATAAATAACAATTACATTTCAGCCATGGCATATGGAAACAATCATCTTTTCATTAATCTTCTCTAATTCCTTCAGTGATGAAAGAGCTGGCTCTTACTGTTCCGGTAGCTTATTCTATCAGTAATATCAAAGTATTTGGAGCAGATACAAATATTTGTTGGAAGCGATCACAAAAGTAGATAATTTCATTGGAAACTCTTCAAAAAATATTGTGTCCGCACTCGGCGTCTCTTCTAATGTAACTTTAATCTGTTTATCAGTAATCTACACAGCGAAAATCGACGAAAACTATGAGAGTCGGTACAATTCAGCATCACATTTGAATGAATGATCGTAACCGATACAAGTGTGTGCCAGAGACACAATTGCCAACTTGAGGTCGAATTTTCCCTTTACGATCATCAGTTTTGTCGAGCTCACTGATTGGTTGTTGGCTAAAGCACGTCAAGCAATTTCAATTATTCCCTAGTCATCGACCAATCGGCGCATTGGTGATTTGTCCACGCGAGCGTCGATCGTTCGAGTTGCCCATCTATGAGTCACGTGATTCGCGATCCTTTCTCGGGTAAATTCGTGATCATTCGGCTGCATACGGCACGCTCGGACGGAGTGTGGAGGGGAGAGAGCAAAAGAGATCTAACTTTACGTCAGTCACATCAGCAGTATTCGTTCTCGTGTTCAAAGCTTTGGTGGTCTCTTTCTTCGAGTAGACTGATAATAGACGAGACTCGAAGAGAGTTGGGTGTGAAGAAGAGTTCTTCTTCGGAAAGGACCGTTCGTGCCGTCGTCATTATCGCTAGTAATCGTCGTCGGTAAATCATCCCTTTCGTAATTCCTATCGCCCTCTTCCCCCTGCGTTCCGTTTAATTCCTCTTCAATTTCGCTCTATCTCTATCTTCCTCTACCTCCTCTCATATCCGCGCGCGTATTGTGAAACAGTGTGAAACGCAAGGCAGGCAAGCGATTCCGCGAAGAGGCGGGATTCATTTGCGAGCGCGAGTGACCGAATGTTCCGCTGAGAATTATGTGGAATAGTGACGCAGAATTGGGATCGGTCGCGCGTCAAGTCAGCTGACATATTGCGCCCTGCTGCACCGCAACAGCCTTCGGTAAGTGTCGCAATCTCATGCGCGCTCTCTACCCCCCGCGGCACACAGCCACTACCCCGAACTCACCGCGGACTATTTTCGGTCGGGGATAGCCGTGAGAGACGGATGACTATTTCTCCTCATCCTTACCTCTCCCTTCCCCTCCCCTCCCCCTCTTCTAACCCCCCTCGGACCATCCTCATCGCTACTCGCTCCTCTATACCTCGCGTTGCACGTATTCTCGTGCGGAGCTCGTTTTCCCTGCTCGCGTGGCCCCTCGCCGCGAGTTACGTGCGCGCAATTATCTCCGATCGAGACGACGAAGGCAGCCCAGCCGCCCCGGTCCCGCCCCCCCCCGCGGCCGCCACCGCCGCCGCGTCACGCCGCGCCGCGTCGCGGAACGACAGCAGCGACGGACGCGTAGGACTCCGTCCGACGCGACGTGTTAAGTGGCCGCTCGTCGCGTGAAAATGCGAGCGGAGAGACGGACAAAGGAACGACGCAATTTGCCGCTAAGTGCGTATTCAAGGATGGAAGCCATGGCCCCTGCGGGCGTCCGCCACCGCACCGTTGTGCTCTTTGCATGCGCGTGTGTGGCTCGAGACCTCTCTTTCTTAACCTCTCCTCTCTCTCTTTCTCCCTCCCCCCTGCTCTATGCTCTCTTTTTATGTACGTGTTTCTCTCTCTCTCTCCTCCCCTCCCCTCTTCCTTTCTCGACATCGCCTCTCTTTTTCACTGTCGGTCTTGCACGACGGCGGCGCTCCGTTCCACTCCGATTCGAATAATGCGTACGCTAGACGTCACAAGTGCTATCCGTTTAATTTTCCGCTTAGAAAACGTTTTCCGAAAGAACGAATTTTCTGCGTCGCTTCTAATTTACCTAGCTAGCTCATAATTCTTATCTATTCTTCTAATGCCACGCAAGATAGGAATGCCATTGATACCTAGAGTGCCTAGAGTTTCGTTTGAGTAGATATCTTTATCCCTATACAGCACGGGGGATCGATTGTGTATCTTGAAACGAAATGAAGATTACAAAAGAGTAAATTTAGTAGGTGTTACTCAATGAAATTATAAATATTCTGAATCTATATACATAAATTTGATTTTTGTAATTTTCATCTCGTTTCAAGATACACAATTGATTCTCTGATTATTCCAGCATTATTGCAGTATTGCAAATATTGCTGGAGTTGCTGAAAACTTCTGAGCTGTATAGGCCACGATCAATTTTCGATCAATTAACGTTCAGACGCGGATGCATTTTTTTACTCGCCGAAAAGAAAAAAAGAGAAAAAAAAAAGAAAAAAAAAAGTCCCCGTTCTGTAACGGGTTCGTGACGCATGCCGTACGTTTACGCGCTTACGCCATTTCTCCTTGCCTCTCCCACCTCTCCTTTCTCGCTCTCTTTCGCCGACGCACTTCCCTTCAGGTGGCCCTTCGAGCATTCCCTCCCCCTCCCACTTCCCCTCCCCCTCTCCTCGCCGCGTGGGTCCTCGTCGTTGTTTACAATCTTTCTGACTCGGGCGAGAGTCTCGGAATCGTGGAATCGCGGCCGCTCCGGCCGAGAGCACTCAGACTGGTTGCCCTCGGTGGTCGAACGGAACTCTCTCGCTGCATGTTTCCCAGCGTGCAGCGCACGCCTTATCAAGAATAATTTCTCGTATCTACACCGCGGTACTTCCTCTCTCGCTTACGCGCTTTACCTGATTCGACCTGCTTGGCTTTGACGCCAGCCGTTCTCAGCCCACGTCATTACGCGCGCGTTTGCTCTGTCTCCGTACTTCCCTTTCTTCTCTCTCTCTCTCTCTCACTTATATGGTTTTTATTTTACTCTCTCATACTCGTTTCTATCAATTTAGTTTAATTTTAATCTTGGTTCAGCTAACTCTTCTTTTTCTAAGAATTAGAAATTTTCATCAATGTCAATGTAGATTAACTTTAAATTCGATTCAACTTACTCTTTATTTTTTTCTAGTTTTAAAGATTAGAAAAAGATGAAAAGTAAATTGAATCGAGATTAAAGTTAATTTATATTGATAGAAATAGGAATTAAACATGCACGGAAAGAATAATTTTGTTGGACCATTAAAGTAATTATATTGAACATTCAAGCTGGTTGTTAGAATGTCGAAACTTTCTAAAGCATTGTCATCGTGCTTGAGCATTCAATACAATGTAATTATTTTGATAGTTTAATAAAATTATTTTCTTTCTGGGAATCTTTTATTTCAGAAAATTCCAGGTTTATAAGAAAGAGAGAAATAGGAGGGAAGAAAGAGAAAAAGAGATGAGTCATTTAGGAAAAGTTCTGAGACAAGTCTCCTCAATATTAGATAAAAAGTACATGCACAGATAGAGCTTCTGATAGAAAATATAAGACCAAATTAGTAGCAAATATAAAATATAAAATATAGGTCTGCATCTACCTAAATTTTCAGCAAAACTGTTCTTTCCGTGTCTATTTTTTATTATACTTGTTTATATTTGGTCTACTAATTTGATCTTATATTTTCTATCAGAAGCTCTATCTGTGCATGCTCTATCTATGCATATACTTTTTATCTAATATTGAGGAGATTTATCTTAGAACGTTTCATAAATGACTCATCTCTCTTTCTCTTTTTCTACCCTTTTTCTCTCTTTCTTCTAAGCCTGGAATTTTCTGAAATAAAAGATTTCCAGAAAGACTGATTCATACTCAACCTGTAGCAACGTGAAATTTTTAATTTTTTTTAAAGTCCATTTCTATCAATGTAGATTAACTTTAATCTCGATTTAATTTACCTTTTTTTAATTCTTAGAATTAAAAAAGGAAGAAGATAAAAAGTAAGTTAAAACCAAGATTAAAGTTAATCCATGTTGTTATAAATGGGCATTATTATAGTAGACGTGAAAATCAAGAAGGCTTAAAAATTTAAGTATTAATCGCCAGATATATATTTATTACGAATACATATATGTATATTTATATATGTATGTATATATGAAAGAATAAATGTGATATTTCGTGTTAAAGAATGCAAAAAAAATAGCATCTTATTTATTTTATATTAATACTTTCGAATTATAAAATTTCCAAAATGTTTTTTTTTTTTTTTTTTTCAATTGAAGTTGAAACAGATACTTTAGTTTTATTTCCAGTATAAAGGCTAATTTCTAGAACTATTGTATATCCATTATACAAATACTAGAGAACTAATTCAAAGTAATGGTTATGGCCTCATGGCAAGAGAGTGCAAATCATTGCGGAGTTATCTAACACTGAAAATTAGAGACAACGTCGATGCATTAAGCTTCAGGAATAGAGTTAGATAACAAGTTTTTTTTTAATTATATTGAAATATTTTTTTTTTAATAGAAATTCAGTCTCCAATCAAGCTAAGATGTCAGAAGTTAAAGATAAAGACTGAAGCGGATGAGGATTTCCCGCGTAGTTTCCGCTAAATCAAATCCATCGTAAAACGTGAAATTTCCTAGGATCTCCCATGATGTTAAAACGTCCTGCGCGAGCCGCTTATTTTTGATACACTCGATTAGAAGGCACGCCGGACGAGTTTAATAGATGCTTTTCCTTTTCTCAGGTTCCTGCTTTCAGACACGTCCGCAGTTTAATATCGCCGTTAACGTTAATCGCGTAACTCTTTCTGTATCTTGCATTTTTTCATAACTATTGTAACGGAGCGATAATGAATTCCGTCTCTTCCCCGCCCTTCGCACATTCTATTTGTATCTATGAATGTAGATCGATATATTCTATGATCTAAGTTTATCTATTACATCTTACCTTGTTTCATTACATGCGTCTTAATATATGACTACCAAATAAAAATATTATTTTCTGTTCTTGCATATTTGCATATCTCTGCCGCATATCATGTTTAAAATTCTCTATCGTCTATTTTCTTATATCATATTTTGTATATTATATATTAAATTATACATTACATAATTTTGTAGGCTTTTTCATGTTTTTTATATTAATTGTATCGGTAATGAAATCTTAAGTTTTACTTTTTTATAATTTCTGTTAAAATATATACATATAATCCATTTATAATTACAGAAAAAAATATTATAATTATTTATCACTCTCGAAGAATTTAGCATTAAATATAAATTGCACTTTTTAATTTTTAATTAATTTTTAATCGAGATAATTAAAAAAATGTAATATAGTTTGCCATTATAATCTCATTAATACTAAATAAAGGATCTTCCGTTTAAAATACATAACGTTCGAACATTTAATATTATATTATTATGTTTCTTGATGTTATCTATAAATGAAAGTACTTATATACTGACGTTTGATCATACTGTTTATATTTACGAGTAACAATTGCAGTTGGTGTGCTCTAAATTTGCTATTTCATCTTGTTTTGTTATATTCTTTCAAAACATTTGCTCGGTATTAGTAATTAAATATATCTTTAAGGAGATTCTCGCGTTTGATGAAATATAAGACAAGTCTATAATATACATGTAATACAAAAGTTAATAATATCAATGATATCTAGAAAAAAATTTCACTTAACTTTTACCGTATCATTTTGAAGATATTTAATTTTAAATTTATAGAATTTTATATTACAAGTTGAAAGTATAACCTTATTCTCTTTTAAATTGAGACACTTGTGTTTATAAGATAGCAATTTAAAAATTATTATAATTATAAAGTAAACACTTAAGTTTACACTTTGTTTTCGTAAAGTAAACACTTTGTTCTCGTAAAGTTTCATTTAAACTGACTGTATAGTTTACAAAAAATTTATATTCTTCAATGAAAAAAGAATATATCAAATGGATGATGCGTATACATCAAATGAGCACCTTACAACTTTTATTTTGTTATTTTGAAAACATTTAGTAACATAAAATTAACAATAATTATGTGTAATAGCATAAGATATTGTTAGTAATCTTTTTATTTCATTATATTTTAATTGTTTAATTGTTTAATTGTTTTACATATTATTATAAGTAAACTGTCTATTGACTAAGAAGTAGCGCGAGAACTT